AGAAGCCCTGGTGGGGTCCATCTGCCCCCCCAGATAGTAACAAAGTGAGTGCGTTTGAAGGCAAACCAGTGTCCCTTACGTGTCTTGCCACAAGGTGTCAGAACGTGTTAGCAGTAGAGCTGACTGCTGTGACTATTTCATTGGCTTTCTTTTATATAGGAAGTAGCAGACTTACCCGGTGTTGCCTGGGTCCTTCTGGCCGGGGGCTGGCAGTGTGGGGGTGCAGGACTCAGGGCAGGGTTTTGGGGGGTCACGTTAGCAGACTCTTAACGATTGTTGTTGCACCCACGGGGGGGGAGGTGTTTGCCCCGAAAGTTGGTACCAAGGGGGCCATCTGGGGTGTCAATCGAAAGCTTACCTTCTACTGATGCCGTGTGTGCTATTCCTGTACTTGTACGATATCGGTGTGTGGCGTTATAAACGTGCTCTGGAGGGATGCTGGAAAATTCTCTGTCTGAGGCTGAGCAATGGGCAAGGGCGGGCTCAGCCGATGGCTATGCTAGTTAGCAAGGGGCAATGAGGCTCTGGGTGCCAGTCCACGCCTGAGGAATGTCCAGATGTCTGAGCCAGCCAGGAGAATGGTTGCTGACTTGGGACACCAGGGTAGGTCGCTGGACCATGGGACCGTATCAGACCAAGAAGATGCCATGAGAGCTATATAGGGGCTATGTGGCACCCTCCATTTTGGTCTTCAGCTCCGCTCTTGATCCCAGAGGCAACATTGCAGGACCCAGGAGCCGGGAAGAAATGTGGACCCGTCCTGACCTGGGATGTGCACCAAAGACTTTTAAGCCAGCAGCTGTGACATCTCTGCTAGAGCCTGCAGCGAGAACTGGGAGATTCGATGCATGTAACGTATGATACTTTAGCAACATCACTCTCAGGCTTTTCTTTCGTGTAGCAATAAACCTTTAGATGGTAGATTCTAAAGGACTGGCCCAGCGTGATCCTGGGGGCAAGATCCAGAGTGTAAACTGACAGGGAGGACCTGTTTGGGGAAGGTGAGATTGGGTTCTAAAACCCTCACCTGTGGGCAGGCCTGGGGCTGTTTGGAGCACGGACAGAGCTGGGGTGTCTGGGGGCTTTTGCTCATGAGGCTTCTGGCTGGCCAGGCAGGCAGCTGGCGCGCTCTGTGGGGCTGGTGTGTGGCCTGTTTGGGAAGGGCTCCAGTCAGGGGCTGTAGGGAGCCCCGGATTCGAGCAATTCGCCCTGAGCGGGCGCCCTCAGCTGTGCCCAGCCCCGGCCCGGTCCGTCACAGCTCGGGGATGTGTGTGGAGGGAGTGCAGGGGGTGGGGGGGTACAAGAGTGAGGGTTGGGGGATGAGGCAAGGCTCAGGGTGGAGGGGCCCATCTGGCTTGGGACTTTTCTCTCCCCCCAATCCGCTCCCTGACCACCAAGGGCCAGGAGGGGAGAAAGGGTTTGGGGCAGGGTCACTTAGAGCGCTGGCTGGCGAGATGCGCAGCCCCCGCCTGCTGGCCACTCTCAGCGTGCCCTGTGGGACAGCAGACCCCAGCCCTTTCCCCGGGTACCGCTGCGCCTGGCGCTCCACAGCCCTGACCTTGCTTCGCGCTGCCGACCAACCGTAGTGGCCCTAGCACTTCCCGCTTGGACAGACGGCCTCGCAGACAGGCAGACAGACAGACAGACGGCCTCGCAAACAGGCAGACAGACAGACCGACAGACAGACGGCCTCGCAGACAGGCAGACAGACAGACCGACAGACAGACGGCCTCGCAAACAGGCAGACAGACCGACAGACAGATGGCCTCGCAGACAGACAGACAGACCGACAGACAGACGGCCTCGCAGACAGGCGGACCGACAGACGGCCTCGCAGACAGGCAGACCGACAGACGGCCTCACAGACAGGCAGACGGCCTCACAGACAGACAGACAGACAGACAGACGGCCTCACAGACAGACGGCCTCGCAGACAGACAGACAGACGTATCTCTCTCTATGGTAGATTGCTAAGTTATCAGCCAACACACTTGAGCTTTTAGTGCCTGGGAACCCCAGGAAGACGTGAGGTGAGGGGAGAGCGGATGGGGTTGCCGCCCCTCACGATTGCGGCTCGGCTTGTACTGAGCATGCCCAGTAACACCACTGAAGTGGCTGTCCTCGGGCTGCCCCCCGCTCTCTCCCCCGTCCTAGGACACACCCCGTATCCGGCATACCCCGTACCTGCGGGGGCGTGTGGTACCTGCGGTAGGACACACCCCGTATCCGGCATACCCCGTACCTGCGGGGGCGTGTGGTACCTGCGGTAGGACACACCCCGTATCCGGCATACCCCGTACCTGCGGGGGCGTGTGGTACCTGCGGTAGGACACACCCCGTATCCGGCATACCCCGTACCTGCGGGGGCGTGTGGTACCTGCAGTATGACACACCCCGTATCCGGCATACCCCGTACCTGCGGGGGCGGGTGGTACCTGCGGTAGGACACACCCCGGATCCGGCATACCCCGTACCTGCGGGGGCGGGTGGTACCTGCGGTAGGACACACCCCGGATCCGGCATACCCCGTACCTGCGGGGGCGGGTGGTACCTGCGGTAGGACACACCCCGGATCCGGCATACCCCGTACCTGCGGGGGCGGGTGGTACCTGCGGTAGGACACACCCCGGATCCGGCATACCCCGTACCTGCGGGGGCGGGTGGTACCTGCGGTAGGACACACCCCGGATCCGGCATACCCCGTACCTGCGGGGGCGGGTGGTACCTGCGGTAGGACACACCCCGGATCCGGCATACCCCGTACCTGCGGGGGCGGGTGGTACCTGCGGTAGGACACACCCCGGATCCGGCATACCCCGTACCTGCGGGGGCGGGTGGTACCTGCGGTAGGACACACCCCGGATCCGGCATACCCCGTACCTGCGGGGGCGGGTGGTACCTGCGGTAGGACACACCCCGGATCCGGCATACCCCGTACCTGCGGGGGCGGGTGGTACCTGCGGTAGGACACACCCCGGATCCGGCATACCCCGTACCTGCGGGGGCGGGTGGTACCTGCGGTAGGACACACCCCGGATCCGGCATACCCCGTACCTGCGGGGGCGGGTGGTACCTGCGGTAGGACACACCCCGGATCCGGCATACCCCGTACCTGCGGGGGCGGGTGGTACCTGCGGTAGGACACACCCCGGATCCGGCATACCCCGTACCTGCGGGGGCGGGTGGTACCTGCGGTAGGACACACCCCGGATCCGGCATACCCCGTACCTGCGGGGGCGGGTGGTACCTGCGGTAGGACACACCCCGGATCCGGCATACCCCGTACCTGCGGGGGCGGGTGGTACCTGCGGTAGGACACACCCCGGATCCGGCATACCCCGTACCTGCGGGGGCGGGTGGTACCTGCGGTAGGACACACCCCGGATCCGGCATACCCCGTACCTGCGGGGGCGGGTGGTACCTGCGGTAGGACACACCCCGGATCCGGCATACCCCGTACCTGCGGGGGCGGGTGGTACCTGCGGTAGGACACACCCCGGATCCGGCATACCCCGTACCTGCGGGGGCGGGTGGTACCTGCGGTAGGACACACCCCGGATCCGGCATACCCCGTACCTGCGGGGGCGGGTGGTACCTGCGGTAGGACACACCCCGGATCCGGCATACCCCGTACCTGCGGGGGCGGGTGGTACCTGCGGTAGGACACACCCCGGATCCGGCATACCCCGTACCTGCGGGGGCGGGTGGTACCTGCGGTAGGACACACCCCGGATCCGGCATACCCCGTACCTGCGGGGGCGGGTGGTACCTGCGGTAGGACACACCCCGGATCCGGCATACCCCGTACCTGCGGGGGCGGGTGGTACCTGCGGTAGGACACACCCCGGATCCGGCATACCCCGTACCTGCGGGGGCGGGTGGTACCTGCGGTAGGACACACCCCGGATCCGGCATACCCCGTACCTGCGGGGGCGGGTGGTACCTGCGGTAGGACACACCCCGGATCCGGCATACCCCGTACCTGCGGGGGCGGGTGGTACCTGCGGTAGGACACACCCCGGATCCGGCATACCCCGTACCTGCGGGGGCGGGTGGTACCTGCGGTAGGACACACCCCGGATCCGGCATACCCCGTACCTGCGGGGGCGGGTGGTACCTGCGGTAGGACACACCCCGGATCCGGCATACCCCGTACCTGCGGGGGCGGGTGGTACCTGCGGTAGGACACACCCCGTATCCGGCATACCCCGTACCTGTGGGGGCATGTGGTACCTGTGGTATAGCGCACACCGTACCCAGCATACCCCATGCCTGGCACGCCCCGTACCTGTGGGGGTGCATTGTTCCCTGCCCCCCATTCATTGGCAGTCACCAAGGGGCGGGCGTGGAGGCCTTCAGTGCCATCTGGCGGCACGGGAGACGTCACAGGCACGAGCTAGTGAGTTGTTGGCTTGGGCTGGGCAACGCAGCCTCCCTGGAGCTGGGGGGCAGAGCCACGCCCCATGCACGGCCTTGCCACCATCCTCAGCTAGCCCAGGGGGTCCTGCCTGCCCCCATCCTGCCAGTCAGTGCAAACCTGGCGGTTTGTGGTGAGGGAGCTGGACCTGAGACCCCCTGTGCACTCACGTCATCACCTGCGGGGGGGAGCCAGGGGACGCCCGGCGGGCTGCGGAGCTGCAGGGAGCCACAGACCCTCAGTAGCCGCCTGGGGCAGCTGGTCGCTGCCGTGCTTGGATTGCCAGATCTATCTCCATATGTACAGACAGTTCACGCCTTTGGGGGAGCCCAGGGCCTGGCCATTCTGGAGCTCACAGGGGACCTGCGACGGAGCCGCCCTGCGCCTGCACTGCATGGAACCAGAGCCCCAGTGGCATGGACCGGCTGGCCTCACTACGTCGCCAGGCTGAGGCCTGGGAGCAGCACCCAGCCCTGGCGCCCGGAGCTGCCTGGCTCCGTAAGGGCGGGAGCTTCGAGGGCTGTGGCGGAAAGGCCCCGGCCTCTGCTTGGTGCTCAAGAAAGAAGGCAGCAAGACCAGCGTGTATGAAACCCGATTATTCAAATTTATTAACATCAAGAAGTATGCAATGATGCTGTCGATTGTTTTATTAACAAATAGAAAACAGACTGTGTACACCAGCGACCCCTACGGCACTACGCACTCACACGGGAAAAATGAGCGTGTCTTCCCAGAGCCCACCCTGGCTTGCGGCAGCGCCGCACTTGGAACCGGCTGCACCGTTAGCTCCCCTTCCACCACCGCCAGGTGAGGCCGTGGGCGCGTGAGAACAAGGAGTGGGAGACAGCGCCCTCCGGTTCACTCAGACACTTGCTCGCGAGCGCGTTCGAATGTCCTGAAGTAGCAGAAAGTACAAGATTCGAATGACTTTAGAAGAGCAGAAATGATAGCTACACCCAACCTCCGGGACGCGGCCCCGCCCTGCTGCCCCTTCCCTGAAGTGCCCCATTCCCCCAAAATAGCTAGCCCCCCCCGCGGGAGCTGCCCCCAATTGTGCTCCTGCCTTTGGAAACGGGGGATGCAGTCACGGGCGAGATGCCTGCACAAGGCCACAGCACGCACACAGCGGGCGTGCTGCGCTGTCTGCTTCTGCTCCCAGGCCTGCCGCTGGCTGCTCCGCCCCGTGGGGCACAGGCCGGGGCTTGGGCGTCCGGGCCCAGGAGGCGAGGCCCAGTCATGTCGTGTTGGGATCTCATGGGCACTGAATTGGTCTAAACGCACTTTGAGATCATCTCTCCCGTGGCCCCAAGCCCCATCCCTGCCCAGGGAATCAGGAGAACCCAGCTAAAAGATAATCAGTAGCTTAGCCCCACGGCGGGAACTTTCATAGGCTACAGAGGGCTCAAAGCAGCTGTGGGGAACGGAGAGGGTCTGGGACCGTGAGCACTAAAATGGGCAGCACCCAAGGCAGGGGCGGATTGGAGCACGAGAGGAGGACAAACGGAGAGGAGGCCTCCGAAGGCCTGACGGCCCCAGCCCCAGCCAGACGGGAAGGTCAGCAAACAGAGGAGGGTTATAAAAACACCAGGGACTATTGTACAGATAAAAAAAGATCCTGTTGCAGCCCCCAAGCCTGGCTGAGCAGCGCAGCCGCGCGAGGGGCAGAAAGCGGCAGGACACGAGACGCCCGTGCTCAGGGACGACGCTCCGGAAAGCAGTGGTCAGGCCTGGTCGGCCGAGAGCGTCGCTACGGGCCTGGGAATGGCGGCGTGGCTCAAGACCCTCTCTGCCCCCGGGCGCTCCCGCGGCGGCCGGCAAAGTGCTAGTTACGTTGCATAGTGGTCAAAGCTGCCGAGATACTCCAGCGCGGCTCTGTAGCACAGCTGGTACTGGTCCTGCAAGGAGAGGGGTGTGGAAGGGGGTGCCTGGGCCCGGCCCAGGGCTCTGCATGCGCCCACGCTCCCCGCACAGAGCGGCCCAGTGCCTAGACCTGCAGCCTGGGCCATGGGAGCCCCGCTCTGCCCAGGCGTCCTGCGCCCTCTTGGCCCCGTGTCTGTGCAGTGAGAGGGGGCCCTGGCGGCTGCTGGTACTGGTCCTGCAAGGAGAGGGGTGTGGAAGGGGGTGCCTGGGCCCGGCCCAGGGCTCTGCATGCGCCCACGCTCCCCGCACAGAGCGGCCCAGTGCCTAGACCTGCAGCCTGGGCCATGGGAGCCCCGCTCTGCCCAGGCGTCCTGCGCCCTCTTGGCCCCGTGTCTGTGCAGTGAGAGGGGGCCCTGGCGGCTCTGCCCAGCCCTGCCTGGCTGCACGTGCGCTGAGCTGGGAGCCATCCCTCCCCTGGGGCCCTGGCCCCCCCGGCCACTCCCCACAGCTGCCTCTCCATGGGCCGGCAGCCCTCCCGCCACAGGGACAGGCTCGTC